TTCTCTCTCTCTCTCTCTCTCTCTCTCTCAGTCTTCATTAATATCTACCAGTCATTTTTGATAAGGTTTTCTCTTCTTCCAAATCAGGGTGTCCGACTTAGCAGGAGGTTAAACTGTATTAACGCTTCAACAATCAGAGTTTGACTGATTCCTGGAATTCCTAAAAAAAAAGTCCACGAATGGTTGTGTTCACCATTCTCGCAAGATCGGTCGCTTGTGTAAATTTAGGACAGGTTATAAACAAGTCAGGTGGCTGAGATTAGGCTTAATCACAGCTGTGCTGTGGCATGGACACTACCACGGACAAGTGTTAGTAACAGCTGGACTACCACCTTTTAAACCGCCATATTATTCACAAGGATTACTTTCAGTAACTGAACCCTTTGCTACTCTCGAGAAATGCTAGTTTAATAGCTTGGTTGACAGGAAATTTAAGTATCACTCTGTATTTCATGCACAGAGCAGTGCTGTTAACTGCCATTTTGATGAAAGGTGCCATAAAGGTTACGGCCATCAATGCTAGGCCAGACTTGATGTAAATGCCTCAATATATTATGTTTCGCTCCATGGTGTAAGTCTCCACTCCTAAACTCTTTTAAAAGGATTGTTTTCTCTACTTTAAAGTCTCGCCCATCTCCAACACTTACTGATCCCTTCGCAAAATACGAAATCGGCTTGATTGTCGATGTGCCTTTGATATCGTAAATTTATCTATCCGCAGAAGTGATCTGTCTCCTGTGCCGTATCCCGGCAACGAAGTCGAGATTTGGTTTATTCGGATCAGACTAGTTAACCACTGCTGTTAAAACGGCACTGCGAGTCCTCCTTGGAAAGGTAATGCGGTTAAACATTATGGAAGAAGAGTCACCATGGAAGGGAGGTTATGATCAAAAAGAGAGGAGTAGTTCAGTAATGCTTCTTGCATGTACTATACAGTGATGTTGTCGTTATGGAATGTGCAGCTAAATCGTGTGTACGGCTATCCACATGTTTAAACTTCATGCGGTTTTAAAAGTACACTGAGAAGTTATTGTACCGAATGACGCTAAATGGACTTTACGGATAAACCCAAATTAAAGCAAATATGCATAAATCCAGGTTTATTTGAATGTGCCTTGCGAGCGAGAGGCCGTCAAGCTCATATCAACCTCGTGAGGACGAACCGGGCGGGCTCCACAAGCCCCCTCGAGGAGGTAACATGCCCCTATATTTACCACTACCCACCTCATCCCCTCTTTCCAAGGGTGTGAAGGCTGAGGTGGAAGAGGGAAGCGTAGAACTTATTGCAATAAGTAGTACCCTCTCAGTAGTTTTTTTTCTATTCAAACTAATAATTACATTGGGATCCGATCTCATGCTTTGATTGCTACCAAAGAGAAAGAAATTTGACGCAAACTTCTCAACTATGGCGACTTATTCCTAAGACATGCAAAAATGATTATCGCCTTTAATCCTGTAAACGTTTGATCCCTTTTATGACAAACAAAACAAATTTAAACTAAAAAAACTAAATTTTATTAACTAAATTACTCTAAAAGGGGAAGAAGATAGTCTCAAGCAATTCCATGGGTCAAACATGTGCGCTATCTCAAACCAAATGGGGAAATTCCCAAACCCTTTTGATTTCATTAATATGTGCTAAGATGTAACAACTTCTTTTTAATTTTTACCTGCCAACAGACTACTGTCACATCACAGGAGCCTTATTAACTTGGCTAGTTATATTCAAGGGTCGGCGTGATTGGCATAATCCTGCGTCAAGTCTGAAAGCACAAGGGAAGCGTTGGCACAACATTTCGAGTGGCGCAGTACCGTCACCTCAATTATTAATTCAGTCATGAAGCGGTTTTAACCAGCATCATGTTGCCATGTCATTACTGCTATGCATGTCTAGTAGCGAGGCGGTCAGTAGAATTGGACCTCGCGATGGATGGAACGCCATCGGCCCCCGAGAAGAATTGTGATATCTGTACCCCCTTATTTATCACTTCCCAATAAAGTATTTCCACATCCAACTCATCCGCTCATTTCGAGAATATGAAGGCTAGAGTGGAAGAGGGCGACACCGAGCCTACTACGGGTACAGCTCGCATTCCTCACCACCTTGTTAACCAGAGTGTTTTCCAGCTACCGACACTTGTGACCTGCAATTTTGCCCAAAAGGGCCGTGTTTTATTTTGTGGTATATTTTAAGGCTGCAATGATAAAATTATTGCAAAAAACAAATCTAGCGGAGCACAAGTTGAACGGTAACCGCAAGTTAACTGCAAAATTTCTCCATCATTTGAATGACCATTGCAAAATTTTCATGTCTTTACCGAATAACACGACAATATTGTACCTAAAGTGTGTCGGTAAAACACCTCTAAGCTGAATGCCTGAACTTTGTACTTTTGAACGGAATGCACACTTTGTTTTTTGCTCAGGTTAAGGTAAAGGAAACAATATTTTCCCCATCCTGCTTACACAATTACCTTTGGAAGCACAAACCACGTAAGCAATTTTATTCAGTTCAAGGCGATTAATGCTTTCATTCAGCAAATGCCCAACACGCTAATGAATTCAAAACCGATGCCAAAGCAGTACATTTGGCGTAGTGGCTATCAGAAAACACCAAGCATACCAGCTTATTGCCTCTTGAAAGTTCCTAGGCACAATAGTTCTATACTGATTTTAGTTAAGAAAGAGCTAAAAATTTCTAGACAATTAACATAGCAGCTTTAAAATTTGGTTGATTAGGTACAGACTCACCACCGGCTTCTTAAATAGGTCCATTTTTGCCATGGGGGACTAAAATGAGCACAAAATGGCAAGAAAAGCCCAAAAACGTCTTCCATTGTCCTTTGTTTATGAACCAGGGCCACGGATGGCTATGAAAGCAGATGAAGGATCAAGTGTAGCTTAAACAATAATATGAAATGTGAAATGAGCTTAATTTGGCCACACGCACACTTCCAGCTTTGTAACGATTCGAGGCAACTCAAGGAGCCAATCTATTAGCAGGTGTTACCTTCCCAGATTCCTCGCTTGGTGGGTTCTTCTACATGAATGTGAGTCTTTTACCATCCTGTTTGCCTCCCTGTTCCGCCTATGAACTGGAACTTCTAGTTCTACCAGGTTTTTGCCGAGCTGGACAAATAGTCCCACCATCCTTCTTTGATTGTAAAAGTAATGCCAGTTATTATTAAATACCCTGAAAGTTGACACTTACCCGAGAAGTAAGGGCTTGGAAGGGGCAAAAAGTCCTGTGGTGCAGAGGTAATTGAATAAGCGAATGGTTCGTTTGTGTTTACATTGCATGTGTTCTATGGCAGTAATTTACATGACCTGAATGGAAAATCGTGCGATTTCCGTCTCACCCACACGCACACGCACATGTATCACGTCAGGTAAACAACTGAACAGCTTTATTTCACCTCTCCAAGGCCACAACTTCACCGCAGCCAAGAAAAATTCGTGATATCTCGAAATATGAACGAGTAGTGCCGCAATCGGTGTACTTTTAGTGGTAGTAATAATTGACTCAAAGAATCAGGAGAATTTTTCACTTCGGCTGCTCATCAAGTCAAACCCGCAGCCCTTACAAGCACTTATTTTGAGCCAAGGTTAAAAATGACTTCTGCCTTCAGGGCAAGATTTTAGTACATAATTGAAGGAGTTTTGGTGGGTTTGTGTGAATAAAACTTGCAAAGTATTATAAAATCCGAACTTCTGTCAGTGATTAATAGCACACCTTGATGGTGGACGAAGTAACTTGGCTGCCTTAGCATTAAGGCTTCTTTGAGTTCCAAATTATCGATGCAACTATGACAACGAGCCAGCTCTGCAATGAACTCCCCGCATTTATGATATTTGAGCGCTTCACCAATTTGAGTGGGAGGCGTGGGCGCCGTCTATCCTAAACGATCGGCTCAGCGATCACAGATCTATCTGTGCTTTGTTACTTATCAAAAGATCAAAATAAAACAACTTAGCCTCTTAACAAACAATTAACGGTTTGAGGCTTACCAATAGCAGCGACTTTCATATGATAAGAAAACCAAACGACGAATATGAACAGCGGAGATGAGCATGTTTATTCTGTCTGTCTTTCTGGATGTATTTCATACCTATCCTAAAAGTGGTGGCGAGATTGACGGGTCACATACACAAATCACAAAACAAGGAATATACTTAGTATAGTTTGAAGGCAAGACTGCCCTAGAATTTTTGAGTGTAGAACAATGGCATATGGGGTTGGAAAGATGCAATAGACAGGTGTGTGTGGGCGTGTGTAGGTTTAAAAGTAAACGTAATCATGAGAGTGGGTTTAAATGAGCATCTGATTCGGCGTTTGCTTGGTAAAGCACATTCAGCCGAAGACTTGGAATATATATTGGGATCTGCGCGAGCCGTATTCGATAACTCGGTTGAACGAGAGAGAGAGAATAGAAGCAGGATGGGAAAGTGGCAATAATACGTTCTTTGTCATCTCCAAGCATCTACTCAGCAAAAGCCGTGATCACCTCACGACCTGAACCGCGAATCAATATGACGCGTTTTAAACCATCGGTAAGTGTCTCCACATACTCCATGTAGTAAAACTCCGAGCCCGGGCTCTTTGGTAGCGCAGGTAGATTAATAAGCACCGCAGCTGCATCTGCCGAGCGTTCTACAATCAGTTCGTTCAACCGTTTCGCACTATGCAATCGGCGTGGTGACGAAGTCCTAAAGTTAAGTCACAAAGCTCATTAGACGTTTAACTACAAAAAAGACAGAATTGCGTTTTCTGGGTAATGATTCTTCCATAAGGGCAGAAACAATAAGGTGCCTTTCACTTTGAAGTATATACTATACAAATTATCACAAACTGCCTCATCTAGCGAAAAATTACGACAGAAAGTATAATACAAGTAGATAGAAGTACTATAATTACGCACTTTTTACCGGAAAGATTGTGAACGCTTTCAGCATTTTCAGATTCCCCTTCGCCAGTAATAGCAGCGCGTAGAGCCGAAGGGGAGAATGTGAATTCATTGAGGCGTTGATTTGCTGGAGTACTGTTTTCCGATGAGGGGGTGTCACCATTGCTACCATCTTGGGATCCACTTTTCTTCATGCCAGCAACTCCCTCGGCAAATGTTACACTGTGCTGGTTCATACTCTTTTTATCATCTTCACTCTCCCGTCCTCCCTCGTCGCCCTTCTCCTCCTTATTCCCTTTCTTCCTGTCATCAGCGTCACCAGCTTTCTTGACTTCCCTTACTGGATTCAGTAGATTGACATCTGTTTTACCCTTGGACTGGAGTTGAAAGAAAGGGGACCGCAGCTTATAATTAGCACTACTTAATGGTGTTACATTAAAAAGAACTAACGATGGCCGTGGTCAATAAAAATAGAAGATAAGAAAGTAAATTTTGGGGAGGAGAATTAATGCCTCCTAACGTAGGGCCCGCCAAAAGCCTGACTGTATAGAAACAGTAAGAATTGGACGTTTGTTTAATAAAAATGTGATTGGAAAAATGAAAACATGAATGTACACACAGTGCAGGCAAGCACCAACTAATTAAACATACCGCTTTACGACGCTGGGAGGATGCAAAAAGAGTCCATTAATAAGCTTCATTAAAAAGTTTTCAGAAAGCAAATGTCCGAAAGCAGAACTAAGTTACTCGAAATTTTTTCAACAAACTCACAAACATCTTTTGTTATAAACAAGCTATAACTTTTACGTAAGGGATAATGACCTTAACCACTACAATATACTCTGTTTACTAACAAAATTAAAAGTAGCAAGTGAAGCATACTTCTCTTCGTTCTTCGGAAATCGCATTTCCAGAGGAATCTTGTGCAGGCCCGCTAATAAAGACCTTAAAAATAGAAGCCTTTTTGGTAGGTTTTGGAGGAACAGGGATCTCGCCATCAGCACCTTCGCGTACGCCCACATAGTGCTCGTCAATCACTGTCTGCAAATCGCTCTTTGCTGCAACGTCCTGACACTTCATCTCTTTAAGTAGTTCCCTCCTTTGATCAGCAGCAACTGTACGTTGTAGCGCATAAGCTGAGATATCTGTTTTAGACTAAAAGCGGAGGAGGGAATGAGCGGTAAAACACAGAAGGTAAAAGTGGATATGCTGTTAAGGAAGCCCACTATATTTCATGTGACAAAACCTACCATTTCGACTATTTCCACCTCAGCTGAGATGCGTAGGTCATAGATAAATCGTGTCATGACGTTCTTGAGCACTCCGTTCGGATCCGGCTCGCTAGTGACCACAAAAACACGCAGACGACACTTGCACCAGACCCGATTACGGAGCAGAAGGTAAGCCGTGAGAAGCAGGATACCACCGTCGTGAACAATGAACCAGAGATCCACAGTACCAGTTAGTGCAGTATCCTTTGATTGGGGAAAAGCCTCAATGAATCGGGGCATTAGAATGGCCAGACTGCAGGCTTGTGCTGTTCTTAAGATGGCTAAAGTCACAAAAAAACCATCCCCATGCATTAGAGCTCATGACAAACTTACGATTTTTTATCTACTCCTTTTTTTAGACAAGAAAATGCGAAAGACTGGTTTTTCGGGAAAAAGGCAGCCAACTGAATATTGCTCGACAATTTGACTATCTTTTAAATATTAGGGAGTATCACGCAACCCCTAATGACTGCCTCGGAGTTTATGCGTCTGCTTAATGGTCGCGATGCATGAGATTAGGATGAAAACTATTAGGCGATAAACTTTGCAATTTCACTTTATTTGCAAAAAAAGATGAGTAATGCTGTTTGTAGATCATGGGAAAAATATTTATTCAACTTCAAGCCAATATCAACCGGGGATTTGGTTTTACCCATCCTTCTTCCGCCTTTAACTTATTTAATGAGTTTGATTTTGAAAAATAGATCTCGAAGAAGAGGTATAAATCTAGTGATGAAAGTGGACATTACGATTCACTTAAGGGTAAAAATGTTTGCCGATAGTCTACCATCGTCGGTAGTCATTAGCGCTAGTTTGATTGTGCCTGGAAGTACAATAGGCATTTCTATATGACCCTCTGACAACCACCAAAGGATGAAGATGAAATATTTCAGGAATTTACGCAAACTCACAAGTAAATTGCAGTAAGCGAGAGTTCTCCTTGTCCTCAGTTTGCCTCCAATCCTCTGGATAAGTAAGTAGGATTGTATTGTGCCGCAAATTCCCCAGGCCGGCGGACTGTACCCTGAAGGGTAGTCCAATTTATATAATTTACAAAATAAACCTTCTAGAAGATAAAAGCATGACTCAAAAGTTATTAAAAATTAAAAAGATTTCCTATATGCACACACAGGTAGCTCGATTAAGTGCTGAAATATTACATAAAAGTGGGTTGTAACATTAAAAGCGATCAAAATGTGGTTAAATTGTACAGCTACGACATAAATAGCAACTTCTGACTTATCAAATATGATCACGGGAAAAAAATTACATATTTTTCATTCCCTCAGCGACGGACTGGGCGACGATGACGCTGGCAAGTCCTTTAACACGACATTTGAGTAGCTGTTCGTCTAATTGAGTTTTTACGAACTCTACATCATCCTTTCTGGCACAGATGTCACCCTCAAGAATTGTTGTCACTAAAGTCAGACCTAAAAGACGAAAATTTGAAACAAAATCACAATAAACAACACCGTTTTAGGTTCACTTAGGGCATATATTGGCGCAATATGCTATTTTTCAAAGAGGATCTAGATCAAATGACTATATATCACCAATGTCGTGAGAATTTGACCGTGTGGATGCATTTAAAGCCTTAAAAATGTCGCGCAACCCGATAAAGCAGTGCTAAAACTATTCATAAATAAATCACACTATCTGATATCTAGAGCTTTAAAATTGAGGCAAACGAAGTGGATTCTCTGATCATATCACGTGTGATGTTTCTACCTTTTCCAGCTTTTAATTGCCGTACGAGGTGGAGCAGATTTGATTCACCCACTGAGAGGTCGTTTCTAACAGGAACGTAGACGAGTAGCTGAGGCCGCCAATTTTTGGTGTGGATGGGTTTTGTACCCAAAGCCAGAATAGCCCGAGTTGCTGCGGTAAATTGCAGTCCTCGCGTTGCGTCGCCCCATTCCTTTGAAGCTCTAAATTTATCAAAAAACAAAACACAATCAGCCATGTTGAGAGCTGCAAAGAGTCAAAATTCTGATAAGGAATTGAACAATTGCTTGTTATTAATTTATCCATATCCAAGCATTTACGCAGATATTAAACATAACGAAAGAATTTACTTATTAAATATTCAGCAATCTATAATCACGATTAAACGTGTTCCTTTCTTCGCACGTGTCTAGGGTAACACATCACACATATACCACCTTTAGTTGGTTTGACGTTTCACTTTTTGTTGGTCAGTAAAAACTGAACACAGCACATCCTAAAGTAGGAGGCAGCCACAATGGAGTGCATTTTTCTTATATTTTAGGTAAAGGAAAGTCCAACTGAGAAAATGTATGTTCCACTTACCCCATATATTCGATGTATTTGTAGATTCCACCAGCAATGATCAAAGCAACCAAGGCGTAGTACCAGCTCGAGATGAACATCAGAGTGAGACATATGCAAACTCCGACACTAGATAAGAGCCTTATGGGAGGAAGAACTGCTGCATTAATATCTGCTAGATTGCTTAAGTTGTTGCTAAATATATTCAACTAAGCGTTGCTTCTGATGCTATCTTGTTAGAAAGAGTAGACCTATTCAATCCAATATTGCCCCCCTATGGAGTTTAACAATCTGATTTGATTGTCAAAGAAACTCAATACGAATAGTAGGCATCCAAAAGCATGTATTTAATTGTTCAACTGTCCGTATAAATGAAAGGCACTATTTAATCAATTCGAAATTTGACTATTGTTATGCAACGACTTGACATTCCGGTCAACTGCATACCAAAATACAAGAATGCCTCGATCTCCGTAATTTTCACTTCAGCTTGGCAGCATGGTTCCATGACTGTTCATTCTAGCACACCTTAATACTATCATAGGAAAGGCTTGGGAGGCTGAATCAGAAGCAGCGGCATTTAAGCTTGAATTTTTTAAAAATCTTTCATAGATGAGTGCGTCTGCGAAGGCTCGCTACAGAAAGGTTAAAAGGGCAGCAATTTTCGGCGGACACCCCGCGTCAGGGCGGCTAGATAAAACGGCACTGGAAATAAACAATGTGAAAGCTTTCATCATGGAGCCATCCACGATGTTTGTTTGTAGATAATTTGGATTGTGTGAATAAATAGTGTCTCCAGTGACCGAACGAAGACTAAATAGACGACTAGACGGCATGACAATGAGAATGGTATAGCGGTCTAGAACAAGAATGGTGGCACCATGGAATCTTTTACCGGTCTTTCGGGCCCTCTGTACTTCAATCATAACAGTCTTTAACAATATTTTAGTTTATTACGATTTCGAAGATGACTTGGATGCTATAGTTAGGAAATTTTACCTCTTTTCTGACAACTAATACACCCGAGCTACAAAAATCATAGTCCCAGTCGATTAATTTGACCGTTTAAAAGGCTTCAGTTGTTTATTAAAACATAAAACAGGATTTCTCATTCAGTGTACTTTTTTAAGGGAATTCCTTAAGATAAGTAAGAACTTATCCATTCACGACACAGTCAATAAACCATACAACTAATGTCATTTGAGGCTATGCCAGACAATTTAGCGTCAAATTTACCAATGGTGGTATTTAAATCGCGGTCTCCAGCTAGGCTCCTTAAGGTAGTCGTTCAAAGCCGTGGCCAAATTGACAAACCCGTAGCAGAGAAGGAAGAACCTAAAGAATACGAATAAAATTTTTTAATCATTAGTGACAGGAGAGCAGATGATGGGAAAGAGAATTCTCAATTATGGCGGGAAATTCCCTAGCTGAATGAGACGCCTTACGAATTATATTGCTAATTCAGTATGTCATTAGAGAATTGGTTGTTTCAAAGCGTCATTTGAATTGCTACATTTAGATAGTCTGGACATTTGCATGATTTAATGTTATGGAACTGTAGAATAGCTTCTCTAAAAGGATTTGCAATGCTATTCTCTTGATTAGTTCCTGTGGCAAGTTGGCCTTAATGGAGATTGATGGGCATGCTAAACTATCCAAAATTTGGATACAGGAACGTTAAGAAGAGAGTGCTTGTAGGAAAGTGAATTCCTCCTCAGAACTAAATTAAGGCAACTTATTCGAAAATAAGGACCATTGTAGCAAGGCGGTTGAAGCTACAATAATTAACAGCAACAAACGTGGGATTCATATTCAAAGTGCTTTTAATTTATATCCCTTAATAAATTATTTGTGCATTCCCAAGTGTCGGATACACCAATGGCATAAACTCAACTAACCTGCCAATTTCAAACCATTAATTAAAGAAAGTTCATACAATCACCTTGTAATTAGCAGTAGTTATTAAAATGGATGGAATTTAACCCGCATTTACATGAAGTATTTCAGCACATTTAAGCTTCAATTACTTCATGTTTAGAAGATTAACAAATGGTGTTTGGACGCAATCTAGTCATTCAAACTTATCGAAACGCACTTTCGGCTAACATACAACACCTCTAAGTCCATACAAGCATTGCCCACGCATTTCAGCCCAATTGCTTCTAATTTCCAACCAGACATAAGGGCTATACTTTTCATGCAAAGACGGATTTGGTGGCCTGTAATTAAAATGAATATTCCCTACCCTGAAGGTGGCATAGCTTCAATCCAATAACACACGCAATAGTAAAATTCGGCAACTTATTACAAGTGAGTGCAATAATTTCACCAAGAGAGCAAAAGGGCGGCTAAAAAAATTTATTTAGTATCCTTAAAAATAGTAAAACACCGTCCCAATGAAGTAAGGAGTGGGGCGGGGCTGCGAAATTATTCATAGAATAAGTCAAATTTTTTTGAGGACTTTCAATTATGCGATGCCTCGCCGATGAATGGATAGGGATGGAATACCGAAAAATGTCTAATATCCTAACCGAGTTCTAGTTAATATCTTTTTTCCAAAGATAAGGCAGTCAGTAAAGTTTCTTTCCCGGAACGGCTTCAGCTATACCAAGAATGTAGTCATAACCATGAAGGAGGGAATAGAAAATTACCGGCAAGAAGGTGATGCGCCCTAGACCTCTGCGTTCAAGAAGTCTGGGTTACAGCACACAATCCATTTGTCGGCGTATGGCAGCTAACCTAATTTTTACGTAGGTGTGTATGTTTCCAACTTACATAGTAATCAGGGGCGTGATAGCATCGATTGAGGCAATTAAAACTGCACCCTGGCTGATAGCATAGGTAAGTAATTGGGCGCGCAACGGTTCACCGCGTTTTGTAACCACCTTGAAGATAGAGAGGAAGGAAATAACTTCGTCTTGAGCAATTGCTTGCAGTAGACGGGGCGCTCCTATAACAGTGAGGAAAATTATTGGCAGGTAGTTGCTATCTTAGAAAAATAGTTCAAGGTGAATAATCTGGAGAAGCGTTGATGATTTTCTACCGAAGCACACGCTTGTGAAAGGTAAAGAACATTAAAAATTGGGTTGCGCATAGTTGGCACAAGACAGTGATTTACAAGAATACAGTCTTTCAAGCATTATCACACTTTTACAGTCACTAAAGAAAAGCTGAAAATGGAAGAAGGGACGATTGGTCACTTTTAAGGTGCCTTGTAACTAGTTTTGCAGCCTTAGACTAGAGATTACCTCGAGTCTAATCAAAGAAAACCTGCTTTCCCCACACAATTATGGGAATGGACAGGTTGTCCGAAGCATCAGCTCAGTTTGGAAACCACGTAATTAACCATGGATTCATCTATAATTTAGCCAAAAAACTTCATTGAACTTGTTTCAAGAATCGGATTAATTTTGGACTCTAAGTGACGATAAATATCCGTTAAACTGACAAGAGAAAAGCTGAGTAAAAACGTTCTCTACTTATAAGACCTACTTCCAAAAAGTGAATGCAATGTGAGCGTTTATATTACTGTCAAGGAATTTGTTTTTACCGAAAATCACCCGCCTCCACACAACTAAGATCCCAAGGCAGATAGGGGGAGGATTGTTGAAAATCCACTTTTAACTCAAATTTAGAGCTGTCTAATTCCACCCTCGTACTTAATTCAAAACAACCTTAAAGGGTAAAGATTTCCCCGTAATGCCGATGCCAAGGCAGTAATTAATCAGTGATTGCGCTTTCAAAAAGGCATTGTGGTGATGAAACCAAAAATTGGTGCAACATTGACGAAGTTGTACCCCAAAGGAAGTTGACTGCATCAAAACCAAATCAGCTAGGTTGTTGTGAAAGAAAAATAAAGAATTTTCTGTCTTGCATACTTAGTAATGCTAAAAATTTTCCAAAAACATTGAATAAGGTTGAAGTTTTCAAGCTTTTGTGAAAGTCAGGAATACAAGTCAAAGATTGAAGAACTTCGTCTTAATCTCAGTTATTAGGATATCCACTGAGTTCACCAAAATTCCTTCTTACTTACAATGATAAATATTAAAAGAAAAAAAGGCGACCTGATTTAAACAAAATAAGTAATGAAGCTTGTATTTCGGAAATCGAAGAGCTTATTTACCTGTAAGACACTGAAGACCGGCTCCAATGCTTGCAAGTAAAGTGCCGATTCGAATGACCCAATAATGTGGCCACGCCAGTGCTGCGACAAGCATTTCACCGCCCATTGATTCACCAAACCTGAGGTGGAACAATTCATATATCCGTCAGAGTAATTTCGCTATATTTTAGCGAGAGAGCCCCGACTTACTTGTCTCGAAGAACACGACCATCGGCAACAGCAGGAAAGAATAAGGTCGTTGAAAGATCTATTAGCAGGCTTAGTCAAGGAAAATCTGTAATATACTGATACTGGTAGAGACAAGATGGTAAATACGTAGTTGGATCAAGTTTGAGGGCATATTTCACTTCTGGAAAGCGAATTTAGCTGACGAATTGCCTGAGAAAGTGGAGCAAAGTCCGACAATTCTAAGAGAGTTTTGCTAAAACTGTCTCTCTCAAATCCTAAATAAAACAAGTTATTCGATTTTAAAAGGATACACACAAAACTGGTGACCATAACGGCACAAAGCGTTCCAACAGGAATGGAAAATTGAGGGTTTGCCAAATCGCCAGATCGGTTGGAACCTGCCATCAGACCTGTAAAATGGAGCAAAGAAACAGTAGGCAGTGTTCGATGTAATTGAATAATCAGATCATCAAAATAAATCACAAATTTGCTTATAAAGTTATGCAATTTTCTCTCCATTTATGCTCTTCTAGTTTCTCTAACAACTCGAACAAAAAGTTGGAATTTCCCAATTGTAGGTGTGGAAAAAAAACTACCGTTTCAGATAGTGCGATACGTCCGTTTTGCAATACCCATGTCATTTATCATGAGTTATCTTTTTCGCGGGTCAGCGGTAAGTGTAAAGGAAAATGTCATTTTGCAAAGAAAGTAAATTAAAAGAAGAGATAATAGAACCAGTTATAGAAAGACGAAATAAGCAGTTCATCCTTTGTGGCGGTTTAATTAGGAGCCTGTAAGTGTACATGAATTAAAGCCTCTGGGAGCCCAACAAAATCGGTCCATGTTGATGAGACCCGCTGATGTTTTTCCCTTAATTGTCTTTATTTAACGCAATGAAGGACCTCAAAAACACTCGCATTACTGTTAAACCCTTAAAAGTGGACGAACTTGTGACCAATCAAATTTGGACACAATGTGTGACTTTTTGCCTGGTAGGACAGGTGAAAAAGGCGTTGTCATCGGAGGATCGAAATAGCTGACAGTGTAGTGTCAAACGCCTCTCTGTACAAACAACAGATGCAATGCGAAATGAAATTAATCGTATCCGACGTGCCTGCTTAGTAAGGGTAAAATATTCCCCACTGTGATTTTCGGTGGTTGAGTTAATAAGCTCTAACAACGCTGTACCGCTGCAAATGAAAAGTACATCTGACGCTCAGTTGCAGCTATGAAGAGCCAAAAAAAGCACAAAAGTTGGTTCAGAAGGACAAAAGAGCAACAGTTGGAGGGGAAACAGAAAATCTGGATTCGACCGATAGATCTAGGGTTCATGATGGGCCTGTTTAATTTGTGTGCATCAGCTAGATCCCTAGGTACACGTTTAAGGGCCTAGAGACCTATTCTGGATACGTGATTTGCTATTCTTGACACATCGAATTGCTCTCGCAATTTATTAATGTCAAATGATACTGAGAAGTCCGATCCAAAGGTTTAAGAATTCGGGCGAACTTACCAGTGACGGAGGGAAAGAAGATGGCGAGCAAGATGGTAAAGCTTGTGGTGATATCAGCAATTGCAGATGCTTGGCCATATTCAGCGCTGGGCGGAAAACTAATATCATCATATGCTTGGCCTGCTTCTCGATAATAAGAGGTGAGAACATTTTCTAAAGTAATGCAGAAGCATTGTTAAGTAATCTGCTCTATCGACCTCTATTATATTCATTTGGGGGTGGACGAATGCTGATTTTGCTTTGTGCATTTGGCGTTCCATAAAAGTGGTTTATTTCTTTCTTTTTAGACATTTAATATTAATTATGTGACAAAAAAAGCCTATTTGCAAATTTTAACTGAAAAACAGTAGAATTTAGGCTACAGAATCGTAATGCACCAGTAAATAAAGGATTAGTATAGCTTATATGAGAACCAGGAGATGATACAGATCTACTACACAAAAACAAATCAGAGACTATTTCTATTTTGTTTGCCAAAGCGTAGGGTAATTTGATCAATTCTACCGCAGCAAACATTTATGTTCCAGGCGAACGATAAAAAAACCCAACCCCAGATTAGTAAATGAAAGCTTACCATAGAACATATTAGAGGCAAGACCTGGAATGGCGGGGAATTCAGTAACATTATTGGAGTTAAAAAATTCACATGCATCAAAAGAATTGTTCCGGCCACAGTAGAGTTGATAAAGAGGGCCAGTGATATTCTTGTGACATTGCAACGCCCCATTCTCGAGTATCCGTGATTTGGCAATCAGGCGACCTCCAAGAGCACATACACTGAATGCAAGGGAGGAAGGATAATCAGTACCACTGAAATTAATAATCCAGTTAATACTATTAGAAATTTATTTTTCAAAATACAAATCACCAAAATGAAGTGATTTTTAAGTGAGAAATGTTAATTTACATTAGAATCATCCTAATAATGGCCGTCTTTGATATTTCGCCGTCTAGAGGACCCGTGTGGCAATGTAACACTATCTCTGGTACACTGACATGGCAAATAGCAACACCGAAAGCAGAAAAAATCTTGAGTTATTAGATTGTCAAGAGTCTTTCCACATACATATACTTGTTTTTATTACCACTGGACACCTTTTGAGATCCTGTTTTAATGGTCGTCTTTGGAAGGCATTCGAGCGCTACAGCGGAAACATTCGCTTTATGGAAGGTAACTTTCAGAAGACAATGCTTAAAGCCGTTTTCAAACTATAAAAACTCATATCTATTAGCCTAAGTGGGTGGACATAACTAGATTAGCAAAATTAATGGTGATTTAGCGCTCCAAGACTGCTCTGAAGACGAAAAAAGACTTAATACTCGGGCGGAATATGTTTCGCCGACGTACAGAAGGGCTTGTGAACTACTGATATAACCCAGGGGCCAAGTCACCCGGTGGAGGTACAATACCGAGGCCTAGATTAGCCCATTACCAAAACCTGAGAGTTAAACAAACGATCAAAGTATTATATGAAATATCGGTCGGCCAAAAAGGCGGAAAAAATATATTTATGCATCAAGCAAAAAAGTTGCCTGAGAGCAAAAATAAAAATCCTCCATCGCAAATAGAATAGCAAGGAAAAACTTTTGGTAGTAAACGTTTCCACTTTTTGGTCCATGTCAGTTTGTAGCCTGGAAAAAAAGTAGATGTCAACTATACCACTGAACTTTTACTTCCACGTTGGTGAAAGCTGATAAATTGATGATATAAACACGAGAAAAGCCTGAAAATAGAGCATGAAACAACATTTATGGAATATTTATTTATTTCTTTCGCGCATTATTGTACAGATTCTAAAACATCCTTTCGAGGAAGCAAATGCTAGAACAAGATTCGAAATTTTAAAATGCTTATTTACATAAGACAAATCAGAAGGGTGTGAATTTGATCGGAGCAAGTTATTTAGACTGCTCGGTATTAAAGATACCTATCTTACCATTGTAGATATTCATCCATTTTGATGTCGCAGTAAGTAACCCATTGAGTCAATTGTGGTATTAAAGACTATTTTGAGCAGAGCCCAGAACAATATGCCCCTCCACTTAAACGATTCCTCGGCAAGAAGAAATTCGACTTTACCTCTGGTTGAAATCACCGTTAGGGATGAATAAACATGACCAGTAAATAAGTTGACAATTCAGGCAAAACCGAGCACCGGTGCATGCTCAACACCAAATACTGCATCGAAGAGAAAAATATTTTGAAAAAGGGGCTGAAGGTATAAAGCTAGGTAGAAAATTTGACGGATAGATCCATTAAAGGAAGACAAAACTTCAGAAGTGAAGTAACTACAAAATGTTTTGGATTTAATTAAGGTACTAATCATCACTGGAAGCATTTCAAGCCACTTTATAACCTTTGCTTCAATATGAAGTATTTCAGCACATTTAAGCTTCAATTACTTCATGTTTAGAAGATTAACAAATGGTGTTTGGACGCAATCTAGTCATTCAAACTTATCGAAACGCACTTTCGGCTAACATACAACACCTCTAAGTCCATACAAGCATTGCCCACGCATTTCAGCCCAATTGCTTCTAATTTCCAACCAGACATAAGGGCTATACTTTTCATGCAAAGACGGATTTGGTGGCCTGTAATTAAAATGAATATTCCCTACCTTGAAGGTGGCACAGCTTTAATCCAATAACGCACGCAATCGTAAAATTCGTCAAGTTATTACAAGTGAATGAAATAATTGTACCCTTAATACTTTGATGTTTTGTTTAGCTTTGCGGTTAGTTAAACGGATTCTGCTTCCGCTCACAGGCCCGGCTTTTGGACCGTGCCATTAGCGTTACAGCCCCCCTGCGCGTTAGTAATACATTTTCGGCCATGTTGTTGTGAATTCAGGGAGGATTATGGGCGCTAAATTGGTGGCGGTGGTAAACAAACCCGATTTCAAAGGAAAACTACCATGATTCTGCTGCCGAATGCTTAGCCCTAATGTTACAGAAAAAGAGCTTTGTTTGCAGGTGAAAGAATTTGTAAAGACACCTAAAAGAAGGGGCAAAAACCATATCTGCTTTCGACAATGATCTCAGTTCCGTGTTCCGCGTAAATGCTATTAACAACTGAAGTGACACTAGCCGTGAACCATCTGGAAAAGTTCGGTACTGATCTGTCTACGGTGCTTACATGAAGATGTCAATTAAATGAATACGTGATACTTCATCCACATCTCTAATAGCTGAATAGAACCCAAATAGATATAGCTGGGCAGCACTGAAGTGGGAACAAAAGTGGAAAAGTGGATTTGACGTGAAACCATATCCTCACGAAACTATTTTAGGTTAGTGTTCTTACGGACAGCGATGGGCATACGAGATGCCCAGCACATTCCTCCCTCTCCCAATACACTTCCCAAACAGAAAGAAACCTGAAATCCGGTGAAAATGCCAAGAGGAATTAGTGACTTCGTGACCAAATACCTTCTCATTTGTAGGGAAATTCGATGATCGACCCGATCGGGTTGTAAGCGATTTTCGTACTACACCAAATACATTATAATGGCCGACAAGGGAATTTGACCAAGGGAAGCGCTAGAGACGACGCCCAAAAGATGAGACAGGCTATGTAATGTTTCGACAGTTTGTTTAACTATGCGGTTGGTTAAGAAGGCACTTAATTCTTCGCGGATTGTACATCCCTCAACCCTCCTGTACATCAGTAATACATTTTCAGCCATAGTGTCGTGACTTCTTACATCATCAGGAAAGACCTGGGGCGCTACAGTGGCAAACACACAAAGAGGCAACTTTTAGCACTGAAAGTATATCAGTTCACGATGCTTAAGTAGTACTATTAGCATTTCCCACAAGTAATCATGTCATTGTCTCTTCTTTGGGTAAAAAACACGTGGCGAAACTATTGATAAAAGACGCTCTACCACCATCCAACTTGTATAGAGGCATAAGTTGATGCTTCAACTAGTCAATTTGATTGTGACGAAGCCTACACAAAAATCAAATTATTAGAAAATGTCTGACGGATATTCCTTAATGGATAAGTCGTCAAAATGTAAAAATGCGCTAAAATGAATAAAAAATAATTCAGTTAAAAATAACTTTGTCACACCTTAAAAAATGTGTGACAACAACAGATAAAACCAGTGAAGTCATTACAACAATCATCGCCAGGGGTGTTAAATTATCCAATGCGAAAAACAGAATTACGTAGTGTGTATTTAAATTAACCTGAATTCCCTTTTTCAAAACCGCTAAATAAATGTGATCGAACAAAGCCTATTGGAAAAAATTGTAAAAATATAATAAAATTTCTAAGATGTGGGCATGGTAATCGCTTCCTTAGATAAACGATTTAATTAACCATATAATAAACTAAAATGTCGCTTTTCATTCCATCCATGCGGCACAACCTCGTGATAACTCAAGCAGTTTCAACATACCGCTACGCGGGGGCGGTTTAAGCAACAAAATGTCAATTAAATATGTATGGCGTTGACAGACATGAATACACTGCTTGGTAAATATTGCTGGCAATAAGGATTTGTCTTTTGAAACCACCAATTCTTCGCTGTAGGCTATGGGTGTCGTGACTATCATCAACAGTTATTGTGTGGTCAAGTTGGACTAAGAGCCACAACTAAAACACTTTAATCAAAAAAAAAGTAAAGAAAGCTTTTGCATTTTTTTCGAAAGAAAAGATAAGAACAGTTTTGAGATATTGAAGTAATGTTTTAATAAAATAACACAGCAAATTTTTTAGTTAATAAATGGATAAAACAAAAATTAGGAATAGTAAAAAATAGTGCATAATAAGATTTATAAGGTAGAAAGTATATCGATACAGTTTATATGATATTATGCGGTTCCGCAAAGACCTGCAAAAGAAATTTAACTCGTTCACCACGGTCACCCAGATCACGGAAACTCTCACTATCTACGGCAGTTACAGACTGATAGACAACAATAAATGAACTTGCAAAATCGAACAAAGGTGCATAACGTAAAATTCCGAAATCTTAAACCAAGATTGGTAAACTTGTAAACCGAGGTTTGGAGAGGCAAAAAATACAGAGTATAGACCTACTAGGGACTTCTGGCAGGACTGGCAGTAAAGATTCCAATGTAGATGCAGAAAATAGATAAGAGTACAGCTGCCAGACTGAGTACGGAGAATTTGCTTACAAAACGTATGCCGATAAAGACGCAGACCATTACGAGGAAAGTCAGGATTGTGCCGTACACCCGTGTATTGTTAAACAGGGAGGCGCTGTCACTTACGTCGCCAAATAGAGATGCCTGAGGACAAACGTATTTCTGCCCAGGGAAGAAAAACCATAAATTGTGAACACTGCGGTAAGCGACTGCATTTAATTATCGCCAATCGTTAAAAGTGGTGATTGAATAAAAAAAATAAATAGTAGGCACTAAAAGTGGGTTTCTGCGACGATGTAAAACACGTTTTTCCGCACTGCTAATCCTCCAGCAACCTGATGCACCGGAATCAACTATTACACATCTATCCTCTGCTATTCCAAAGAAGTTCGTTTTAAAATTTAAAACCAGTTGGTTTGATGTTTTCTGAAATTACATGACACCGCCAATTCACACTACGCGCATGCGTGGAAATGTTTATTTTGACCCCAGAAAATATCCACATATATGACCTGCTTAATTTCGTGCTACAGAATCTCAAGGTTATCTTGCAAATTAACGGTGTATGGATTAGGATTGTGGAAAAATTACAATTTCTTAGCACCAAAGTAATAAGACTTTGCTTGAAGGTAGGCAATAAAAATACTATACGTCTCATTTATAGTCATCAAGACAAGAACGGGTTTAAACTAATCAATGAATTCTGCAAGGCATACGAAGTCATAACAGTAATTCCCTAAGGAACTTACTAGAAAGACTTCAACAGATCCAACTAGATACATAGCGGCTGCCATTGAAGTGCCAAGATAGAAGAGAATTCCCACAGCGCCGCCAAATTCTGGACCGATGGACCGCGATATCATGAAGTATGAACCGCCAGCTGGAACTTTTCCGTTTGTAGCGATAGCAGACATACTTAGAGTGGTGATGGTTGTCTGGTGAGAAAATCCACACCGTTACATATTCTATCGGAAAACCACTGCTTGCTTGTGACAGGATGAAAAGTGTCCTGCGTAAATGCAGGAGTCGCCCACATCTTGCCCCCGAACGCCCGTGGCGTGGATCTTTGGTTATACCACCTAATTAACGAACTTTTCCAGCCCTATGTACATTAATAATAAAGTTATGCTCACATTCTTATGCTTTCTAGTGTATTTAGAAGCGGCTTAGATGTGGAGATTAGTGCGACCAAAGCATCGTCCATATGCACACTGCACAATTATTTCTACCCAAACGTCAATTTTCAAGCTAATGCTTGTACATAACACACCCATTTGCTGTGATCACGTAGAATTATTCAATTAGGTGGAAACGTATATGAGGCGTAAATTTTCGTGTCCGAATAAACAGTCTACATCAGACAGGTTCATTTCAGCTGCGGTCATCACGACCAGGCACGTGATCGTCGTCGCATTCACAGTTCAAATAATTATGAATTATGATAAAGGTATCTGCTTGCACATCTGAACAAGACAAAATATTTAGACAATAATTTACATTAGCTCATGAAGAAAGTTAGAAAGAGGATTCCATAAACACAGAGTTGACTAAGGCATTGCATTAGAGATGTAAAAAAATCAAAATTCTCGATTTCTGTATACAATGAAACCCTTAACTTCAGATCAGGACTTTTTCAGAGTCTCAACTTGTAGTTAGAAGGAAGATAAGACGAGGTGAGAATCCTAAGAAGACCTGAAACTCACACAGACACAACAGAATCCAACCATGAGGAAAAACTGTAAACCACCCGCCACTCCTGCGATCCAGGGCATACGCACGAAGAGGAGGACGCCAAATATGTTTTGAATACATGGTAAGAAGACGCCTAAGAACGTTCCAAGTTTTTGTTTCTACAAAGGATGGTAAAAAAGGAGACAGTATGGGCTATTCAAATATTTGAAAAGGATAAAACGAAGGTCTCTTCAGTTACCTACAGTAGGAAATTAAAATTACAAAGCACAACACAATTTTATCCTATTGAGAGGCTTTTTTCTATGGATCTTTCGTACACTTCCTTGTCTCCACAAGTAAGCAGCCTACCTTTTGATACTTCCGTTGCTACCGCACTTCTACTTCTCGACTGTTTGTTTTCTTTGTGAGAAGAAGACTCTCCTCCAAACGGTTAACCATTTGTGACTGTTTCTGAAGAAGACGTTTTTCTTATACACCTTTCAGTTGTGCTGCACCAAGCAGATGGTGATTGCAGTCGCAATCACTCTTTGGTTGTCAGCACGTGAACACTTTCATTCAGAACAAACAACTCTGCAGTTCACTCACCTCACAAAGCATGCATGGCCTTGAGGGTGAAGGGGTGCCTCAGTGGTGTGAGTGGGGGATGTATGTATGTCTGTGTGTGAATGTGTTAGTATGGGTGGTGGAGGGGTGGTGAGTGAATCCTTTGGGAATAACCAATGATTTACTTGTTTATTTAACAAACGTTCCAATACAAAACCCATTCCCCCCTACAGACTGATCAGCCAGACAATCAGTAAACATTCATCTGTCAACCGCGTTACTTTTACGTAAATCATTGCTGCCCGTTGCTTCCACTACGTTCATCTCTAATTACCCAGAACAATTGTGACACTCAATGCTCCATTAGCAAGAATAGGGGGTCTCCTCCACCCGAATGTACTGCATCTGTGATATGCATCTGTACCACAGGGACTCATCAAAATAATTTAATTTTTTCAACCATTTGTGGGTTCCGCTACTGCATACGACAACCTTTCCCAGTAATATGGAGCAAATTTTAGGAAAGATAGCAGATTTGTTCAACACACTCCGAATTGAATCGAAGTTGCCTTGTAAAGCGTACAAACCGGAATCACATTTATCAGGTTCGAGCGCTATGCGACGAGATGAGGGTGGGTTCGAAACAAGGGGAGAAGAGAACGGCAGGAAATATAGTCAGGCTGACGCATATTTATTCGTGTTTTGTAGTATATGCACATAAACAGTGGTGCAAATTTTTCGGGTCACTGTATGTTGCGCCAAATCACTCTGACGACTTGCACTGTCTTATGCTCAACACCACTGCTTACACTTGTGTAGACATCAGAAACGCATTGGTTCGATTTAAAAATGTCAAATGAGCTAAGGAATCTTATTGCGCATATATCAGATTCTCCTTTTATTTTCTTATGCTAAACCTCATTGACTTCATTTCAAAATAAAAGATAGAAAATGCTGATTGGCTGAGAATTAAAATCCCCCACTGAACATTGAACAAGAGTACAGAAGGGTGAGATTTCATCTGAGTAATGATTTTACAATTTGCCTTCAAATGTACATGCCATTTCTGCCACATTAAATCCTATTTAAAATCTGGTGACTTAGCAACTTTATGGCAACCTACCACCCCTCCCCGAGGCATACATTTAAAGATGTTACATGGAGAATATTTTTAATTGATAAGACATAAAAGACATTCCAGTTTTTCTGATCTATTTAATAGTATGTCCTTAATCTTCAACACTAGTAAGATCTTGCATTAAGTACGTCGTATAGCATTGGTGGAGATTAATTAGTAATCCGCAGCACTAAAAATATTCCCAAAATTAGAAATTCAATTGTCTGTGTCAAAAATGAAGAACTCAAGTCTTCATTGGAAAGTTTGTTTAAAACACTTCCGGCTACACACTACAACCGCTTTAATTCATGGTAACATCTTAGGTTTTAAAGCTTAACTAGATAAGTTTCTCCAACCAGTATGAACTGAAATAGCAAATAACCCATTACCAAAAATAAGACCCTAGAAGAAGGTTTGTTGCCGATTTTTGGTGAATGGTACAATTAATGGAGAAGCAGCTATAAAAAAGCGGAAAGAGAGAGAGAGGGGGGAAAAAGAGGGAAGGAGCTAACAAATATGTGCGCCTCGAACGTTTATGCCTGCTGGTCGCGCGATGGCGAATCAATGATTGCATGATCAAGACGCGCGTGAAATGCCATTTTCGTGGATGGGTGCTAGTGTCACTTCATCTTCAGCACGCGTTTCCACCCACGATGCTGTGAATTTTGCCTCTACGTGTCGCACTTCTACGCACTCCTCATTCTCTACGGATATTTGTCTGCCTAGTTGGCTACCCGCCGTAATTGATGTTTTCAAAACATCGGTGTCTATAAAGTGTGATTGCAACAGTAAGTCGCCTGCTACAAACGTCTGCAGATTTTCCAGGCCCTTAGAATTGTAAATTTTTTAGTAGTTGTATGAGCTGGACGCTTTTAAATTATTCAAACCCTGGACATCGGGCAAATTGAATGATAAGGCGGAGGAGTAACAAAAGGGCGATGTAAGAAATTCGGTTTCTAAAATAACCTCGGGATTTCAAGAAACAGTTGCATATAAATCGGAGTTTGTTTTCACTACTTTAAGTTCGCATCACTTTGAATTACGATTAGGTGACAGTGGTTGCTATGGGCGATCAGAATGGGATTATTATCCGAGTAGAGCAGGGATAAACAATTTGTGTCTTGAAACCATTCCAGGTCGCAAGGTATTGCATTACACTTACGTGATTTCAATTTTCCTTTGATGACATTGTGAATGGGGATTTTCCTACATTTTAAGTAAATTTCTCCCTTGTAAATTCCAGATTTAATGGCAAGCAAAATTATTGGCTACATAAATGATATCTTTCTTTGCTTCCGGAGTAGAAACTTTTCAAGGCATAAAGCTGTGGCTAGCCATCGGATTCTATCCACAAATCAAAACTCTCTCCTGCTTTGTACTTTCATGCTCTTTCAATTCTGCCGCCAGATCTCATGAAAACAACCGGTAAAATCCAATTAAAACGTTTCTGAAAGAGCTTCTTCTTTGCACTCCCCAGTATTTTCGAGCAAAGAGAACTAGAGGAATCATGCATATCTAGCCTTAACAAACTAGTCAAACCGCCACTGAGGGTTACAAGTGTTGTTTAAACCTAATTCTTTACTTTAATTCATTTATGATTGTACAATCATTGGGTGAATATTTGATAAATCTAGGGTGAAGTGTTTGGAGATGTCTTGGGTACCATCCGTTAGATAGTTCCAAATAGATAAAAAATTAATTTTCTCATAGCAAACATTTTATTCAGCATTACTTGTCATAATTGGTGACTTCAAAGTCTCCGGCTTCAGGTCAATTTGCCATCTAATTAAACTTGTGCTTACTCTAAATTAAGACTTTTCAAGCCATCAAAATCCGGGAAAAACCATTCTAAATAATTTTAAAAGTCGGCTGATTTCAGCCATCTGAAAGTTACCCTGATTTTTTGCTTACTATGACTTTCCACAAGGAGGAGTCGCCGTATTGACCTATCATTATCATCATTATCTTCAAAATTGGCATCGCTCCTAAGGTGACATTTGTGATGCGTGGGTATGTGGTGACGCCTCAGCAGAATTTTGCATGGTCTATACTTTGTAGGGCGGAAATTTTGTCCCTCTGAACTACAAACGCATATCCGTGAGTTGATTAACCCTTCGTCCTCTCTTTTGTGAAGGGGATCGCGTGCACATAAACTTTATCTGGACTACCACTCTTATGCGTCACAACGTTGGCAAAAGTAAAACAAGAATTAAAGTTCCTCAATCCGCAAAGTCAGGGATGAAACAAGTTTTAATCGTGGCTGTACCAATCTGGCCCTTCACGTAAGGAGAGCTGAGAAAACTTAATTAACGCATGAAGAGTTTTGCAGCTCCACTCATAAGTCAATAGTTTTGCTACAAATAGGGTCAAAGAGGAAGGGTAATTTAATCGTCTTCCGGCATTGGATAAAACGAAATGCTTAATTTATTTCATTAGCACTGTGGTGAGACTATTTTTTATTCCCTCTGAAATAGATGCATTGGCGTATATTGTGCAACTATAAATGGATGTGGGAAAGAAACTGACTATATCTGACCTCTTTTGATATGCCAATGCTTGAATTATGGACTTGGCAGTTAGAAAATGAAATGTGGATGTCTACACAGACCTGGTTTAAAACACTTACTATGTCGAAATCATTGACTTGCTTAGCAATTTGTTCCGTCTAGATATTTTGCAAGCTTTAATAAATCATGATTGGTCTAGTCGATCCTCCAAAATTTAAGTACCAGGCAATAAAAATGCACAAGCGGTTACGATATAGCTCCCTAGGGCGGTATATCATAACATATAGAGACCTGCGCAAGCACTATAAAGCGTGGGCAGATATACAACGGTCTAACTATACAGCACGCTTCTCATCTCACACCATGTTGGTTGAAACTTGTAGATGTGGTACCAGATTATTTACTTTACTAATTAATGTAAGTGCAACTCCGAAGGCATAGAAGCGAATCCGGAAATCGTTGTATACCAGTATGTGGTAGCGGAACACCCAAATAGCGCCCACTAGTGGTTGAAACGGTTTAGTAGAATTCCAATATGGAAGCATACTATAGATTCATAACACCCGAGGCGGGGGACCCTCTAGTCTCGACAGCGGAAAATTGTGCATCCCCAGTGCTTCAGGTGGTTGGAGATGAATGTACTGGGAGTAAATGCCATTAATGGCTTGCGTGAGTGATGAAAGAATTGATTTGTGGTTTACACCCATATCGAGTGGGAAGTGAATATCGTGGTGGAAACGATTGGGGAGTAGGTTCCACCCACACACATTAATAGGTGATAAGGAGGTTGAAAACTACCGGTTATTTCTTCACCTCTCCATCCTTCATCATTCTGCCTCTACATGTTAAGGGAGGTTTTTTTGGTTACTGACTGTGTCTGGCTGACCAGTCTATGATGGAATATGGTTTTCGTATTGCAACGTTTGTTAAGCAAAAGAGTACATCATTGGGTACCCCCAAGGGATTCACCCACCATCCCACCGCTCACTCACGTACACAAATACAATCACGTCCTCGCTTTCACCACTGATGCACCCCTTCACCCTCAAAGGGCCATGCTTGTTCTGTGAGATGGGTGGATTACAGTCATAATTGTTAACCATAAATTAAATTATTAACTTGCTGAAGACCAAAGGGTAATTGCAACTGTAATCACCATCTGCTTGGTGCGACACAACTGAAAGGAGTACAAGAAAAACGTTTTCATCAGAAACAATCAGAACTAGTTAACCAGTAAGTGGTAAATCGTCTTCTCCTGAGACAACCCAACG